CAACAACTGAGACTTCTAAGAAGTTATACTTAATTGTAGTGAAAACTGAAATTATGTTATAATACTCGTATAGGTACAAACTGTATTTACTAAATCTGCTGTGAATTCTACATTAGCTACCAAGTTCAGGAAGGTTCATTGTTAGTAAAGGTCTCACTGTTATAATTTATGAATGCTTTGAGTCATAAATCTATGCTGCCATATGTAACAGAATGAAGTCTGGCTCCGGTAATGTCAAAGGCAAACTTGGACCTTTTCCGCTTTGCTGTTAGAGAGGCTCCCACAGCTGCTCCACCCTCAAGTTCCAGATCCTGCCATCACATTCAGGAAATGATTAAAAAAAACATTCAGGTCTTTTTGCATTGCCTCAGATTCGTTGCGAATTGCTTCCAATGTACAAAGGAATTTTGTGCTTGATGTTAGCTTCTACTAATTCTGAATCAAACTAAGTTGAAGCATTTCCCTGAGAGCAATGGCATAAAAAGACTTGTAAGAGAGCAGGTCTGTATAGCCCTGTTTTTCTGAAACAGCTGCACTGGCCTAATCAGCTCAGAGGATGACTAGGGAAGAAGCAAGGGCTGAAATGTTTCCCTTCTTGTAGTAGAGTAGGTGTAATTTTCATACTGCACTCCCAAACGTGGGACAGGCTAGGATATGTTGCACATATGTGATACTAGGTCAGGGCAGGCAGAGTGGTTGCCAAAACTGCTCTCTCTTGGGAGAGAAGCTGGGACTTCTAGACCTTTATAGCCACAGAATGTTCTACACTAAAGCCCCTGGCAGCGTATGCAGAGCTGGTCAGGAGTTCACCTTTCTCTAAATGAACATGAACACTTTGTAAAGTCTTCTGTAAATGCCTTCTGTGTGGCCAAGTTTGTAAAAGTATCACTTGCTCCCAAATAATAGTTTTTAAAGTTCATGGTATGCAAAAGAAGGTTAAGTTTTATAACACTTTACAGTAAGCCTTAGCACAAAGATATTTATAAAGGATTCAGATTTAGCTAAGACTGACTCTGTACAGAATAATTAACAGGTCTAGGGAAGGAGGATGAAAGCAGCTATACCCATTCCCTGAATTCCCAGGCATAAGTCATCTCTATTTCTCAGAAGCTGTTATTGTCTGAAAACAGCATACGTAAAGCTGCAAAATATTTAGCATATTTTAAAGGCCTGTATCCATAAACATGCTCATATAGTTAAAATATTTGCGTCCAATTTTATATTAAGGCTTCCTATCTAGCCTACAAATGGATATCTTTTAATTTTTCTCATTCCTTATTACCATGTATGTAGTGAATTATAAAGTACATGAACAGGTCTGAGCACAAAAGGGAAGGAAAGATGCAATGTGCCCAAACTAATACCTGTCCATAAACTCTCATTACAATACTAGGATGAAAGCATTCTCCCCTCATAACTACAGTGAGTGAAACCTCCTGGATCATGAGCTTCATCTCTTTTTTCCTGAATCTACCATGGGCAGATACAGGAATATGATCCAAAGATTTTCTTTTTCATTTATACATATGCATCAATGGCAGTCTCATTTCTTAAAAGTAACAGTAAAATATGGAATGATGGCTTGGTTTAACACTCCTAGTACCTCCAAAAACCAACACTGAAAATCTAAAATGCCTCCTTCACATTTAGATTGGTCATTCCAGAGGCAATGAAAGCTCATTTCAAAAACATCACATACATACATGCCTACATGAAACTCTTAAGAGGAAAGGAGGACCATTTATATTTACATCTGAGTTACACACCTTGATCCTAAGCATAGAAATAAAAATGTGAGATTACAACAGATAAAACCATTCTGTGTTGAAAAACCTGCTTCACAGAAATCAATAGATTTCATTTATAAAAATGTGCTTTCTTCATTAAAATGTGACAGAAATGTTTTTAAATTAAGCTTTAATTTAAAATCACAAAGTGATTTAGGAGATTTAAAACAGAAAGCTCCATATATTCCCTTAATATACTCCTTTGCGATGGTATAAATGCGCACAATCAGCCTCGAAACCTTATGTACTTCCTAAAACTTGATAGGTCATTTATAGGAATTGTACTAGTTTTAACTTGGAGAGATAATGGGAAAATAGTTTGAAATCTTGGGAGGTGGGTGAAGGAGATAATCTAACAAACGAAATTCTTGGAGATACATATTCAAATGTAAAAAAAAATCTTCCACTGAATGCTAAAGCCCAATGTTCTCCAATTCATGCAATTTTTTATTTTACTAAGTTCAATAAAAAAATGTTAATCTTGCAGATAGCCAAAGCTAGAAAAATAACATTTCCCATCAGCACTAACTCTCCTCTTATCTTTGAGATGTTTACCTAGTCTTGAAGCTGTGACATATGGGAATTTCACACCTAGTGAATATGTTTTCATGTAGCTTGTGGCACAGGAGTGTAATCATTAAAAGAATATACACAAGTAAGAGTAACTGCAACAGCTGGTGACATTTACCAATTAGAATTACAGTTCTTTAAAACACTTCATCCTTCTTTAATGTGTACAGGATAATTATCTTTGAAATTGCTGTAGAAAAAAAAATTAATTTTCCTTTTAAACGGTGTCTGTCTACAGTAGAAATATGTCTGGGTAAGGAAGATTATCAATACTCCAGCGGTATGACTCTCTATTTTAAAACCTCAGCCAAAGTATTGCAGGCTCATGGTGGGCAAAACACATGAAACATTGAATGAACCAACAGTATATCAAACACTTAATTCTGTCTCCATATTGCACTCATTGAGTGTATTTGTTTTCTCTATAGATGTGAAAGAAGAAAAGAAAGCTATTATAAGCATCAAAACAAGCTTAGTGCTATACATTTAATGTTTTAACTTTTTTTTTTTTTTAAATAGGGATTATATATTAGATGGGAAACTCTGATTATATGATCCTATTGTTGCTCTATTTTGGATTATTCAACTTCAGAGAAAAACCCAGGCTAATGTAGAGCTAAAAAACCAATTAAGCATTAGATGTATCTTAAAAGACAAACTAATAGAAACAGAGATATATTTTAAATAACTGTCATGGGGGGCATTTCATTACTAATATTGGACAGACTTAAGTAACTCAGTCTCCACTTTGATACCCAGAATAAAAAATTCTGCTCCTCTGAATCTCTGGCAGAACATCAGCTGAAGTTAATGTGTGAGAGTTATTTGCACATCTTTGGGAGAAGAGTTTAACCTGGTATATTTATACAGATAAATGTAAAAAATGGTATTCTGTCTGAAAACTTCCCCAAGAAAAAACAGGGTTTTTTTATGATAGATAAAAAGTAGGTTTGTTTTATTCAGAACAGCAGACAAGATGTTTTGCCTATCTGAAAATGAAAGAGAACCAAACAAAGAGATGAATGGAGAAACTGGAAACACAAAGACATCAAATAAAATACCAGGAAATGAAGAGCTGTAAATAGGGTTACTTTGTCGCTGGTTACACAAGTAACTGAATACACTGGCGAGTGAATGAGTTTAAACAAGGGTGTAGGCTTCAGCACATTCTTTTTTTAGGGTTAATCACTAGTTAACCTGGCAAGATGAACATGCTGTTTGGAAAAAAAAAAAAATCCTTGTTAATTATATACTGCAAGTGCTCTTACTTCCTGCTGCTGCACCTAATCCCACAGGTGCAGGTTGTCTCTTTTACTATTCACTGGTAGGTGGGTCCAAGTCAACAGACACTTTTTCATAGCAACAAATTCAGATAAAGAAGAACCAGCTTTACTTTCCCCCTTTAAACAGGAAAATGCTATCATAGTGTCTCTTTAACCAGGAGGCAAATTTTAAAATACATTATTCCAGTTTCGAAGATTATGTCAGAACTGTATTGACACACATCACTCCGACTGGCAAAATTTGCCTGAGGCACGTAGTCAAAAGTGATGCTGTACTGCCTTGATTTTCAGGCATTCAAATACTTTGCTGCTGAAGTGCAACAACCTTAACAGTGCCACTAAGATTAGCCTTAGATACCCCAAAGTTTCTGCACAGCTTTTTGCAATGCAACAGTTTGTCACAAATCTCAATAAAACCTGTGTACGTTTGTAAATACTTGCATTATGTTAATTCTCACTTTGGCACTTGTCACAGAACATTTCTTAGCATCACGGAGTATTAAACAAACTTGTATTCTTGATATTGCCAAGAAAAAAATATCTAATTTTACCAAGTTGCTATCCTGCCAAAGCACTCATGTTTCAAAGATGAGAACAGATGTTAGAGACTAACTATATAATAATAAACTTCGTCCCATTTTGTGCTTGCTTGCCTCTCCACCCCCTTCCCCTCCCCTGCATCCTGGAGGGAGATGTTTTAACTACAGGGTGGATGTAACAATGAAATGAAAAGGAGTGATGAGCTGGAGGGGGCTATTGTGAGAAACACAGGAGCTCCTTATTCAGTGTCCACCACCAAATAAAAGAGCACATTGGAAAAGTTCACTGCCTGAAATTTCTTCTCTAAATACTGCGAGGCTCATCACTTGGGCTTTGGAATGACAGTATTAAAATATTAAAATATTTTTGGAATAGAAACTAATTGTACTCATGACAAGATCCTCACTCACTTCATTTCTTACAAATCAAAACACATAAGCCAGGCAGGAAGATGCATCATTTGTATAATCAGTCTATTATAAAGATAATATTTTATTCTCACATGGTTATGAAAAATAATACTTTGTTTAAATGCAAAAATGCAATGCATTTTCCCTGCCTCTAATACATCTTCTTGTAGAAGAAAAAAACAACCTTGTCAAAAGCTAAACATGTATTTTGACAACTGTCATGCAGAACTTAAGCTGTGATTCTGCAAGCATTTACCCAAACACTTATATGTGTGGTTTCATTGCATTCATGGGGCAACACGGCTGCACAGGTGTCTGCA